TTCAAGTTCAATATTTATTGCGTGGTTTCAACTAATTTATATTTCACATATTTCATGGCATTAATAAACTTATGCTCATATCTCCCCCTAATGCCATGAAATCATCTTCACGTATTATGCAAAACACGTACCAAATAATAAACTGATCCCCATAAGGGCCTCTAGGTATTAAAGATTCAACGGAGTATATAAAAAAATAGCATACCTAGTTTGTAATATAGGCCCATAAAGGTACGAATTGGTGGTGATAAAAAAAATATAAAAATAAATTGCAGATGGGAAATGCTTGAGTCTCCACGCATATTAGGGGGAAATTTTCATAAATAATTGCCCAATATGATCCAACTGCTCATGCTAATTATCAATATATAAGTTGGGCATCGAAGTATAATAATTATTTCTAAGTGAACACTATATGCTTCAGGCACTACAACTATACTTTGCTTGTGAGTCTTTTATTGTAGCTATAAACTATATTATATGCTTCAGGCACCACATATAAATTAACATTATAGCTATCAACAATATAAGTCTGTGGTATGCATCTTATCAAATATACAAGCAAACATAAATAATTTCATAATACTTTTGTATAGATGCAATCTATGTAACATTCTGGTTACATAATTTTATTAAAAGTATGTTGAATATGCAGAGCTGATCTAAAATAAAAAAATCACGAATTTATCCAAAAATCAACGAGATTACTTACTAGATCAATTTGTCAAAGATCCTCGCTAGATAATTCTTATGCAATTATGGTACTGGTCAACAGGACCAATCCTTCAAGGATAACCAAATCTAGGTTGATATTTAAATTCACTAGTGATACTTTTAATTATATAATCCTTCAGGGAAACTCATATCTATAAGTATAAAATTCAAGAGGATATTTGCTCTGCAATTTATGACTATACAAATTGCATACCGTTCATTAGTCAATTAGACTAAAGTTGAAGATATTTAAATTGATTTAGGCTCAATACTCAATACATAAAACAGCGGAACAAAATATGCAACTATTATTTTCAAACTAAATTCATGTCGTAAGTGCATATTTTGATAGCTTCACCATATATATTCCAAACAACACACACTATTCACATGTTAAAATTAATCCACATATGCTTCATGAGTAATCAGATGCATGGACAAATTAATTATATATGTGGACATTTTTATTTTATAACTCTTCAGGAGTATGACAATTGAAGTATAAGAGATTTCATTTCATAAGATATATAATATTTTTGTTTTATGTTCATCATTGTAAATAATTCTTACCCGTAGGATAATGTCTACTACACATAACATACGTGTGTTATCACTATCAAATCGTAACAAGTAATGTGAAGAATGATATGATGCATATCAAACAAGAGATGCTCATATAAGACAATTAAACCAAGGAAACATATAGTCATATACAAGAGAGACAATCTTCTATCAGATATCTTATATGACCATTAGACTTTTATATATGTGCTTCTGGCATTAATACAATCTCAATAAACTACTGTTATATCACTATTTGTAATATATTGTGTCCATGAATATTGATTTGGTTGGATTTCATTATTCTCATGTATTACTTCAGGAATACAAACTGTTCATAACATATCATAAAATATTCAATATTATCTTAGTTCAAAATTAG